CATTTTCCTTCCTTTCATTTTCTCTGATTTCACGGATATTTTTTTTTTCCGTTGATCTTTTCTTTTCTCAGTTCGGTTTCTCATCACTTAGCGTAGTCTTGAGTGCTCGGGAATGGTTTCCGAGACTCTTTCCTTTGGATTGACAACTTCCTTTAAGGACCGTGTCATTTCCACATTTTCACTTTTTGGACACTATTCACTTTTTGTCCTTTTCCCCGTTTGTCACTTTGTTGGTATAGCCTCACTTTTTGTGCTCAGAGTTAATTTTTGACTTCAATACTTTGTTGGAATTATTTCCTTGGTTTTCATTGCAGCAAGGCTGACTATTCTCTTTTTGTATATCTGATAAGCGCCGAATACTGTATATTCAAGCGCCCTAAATTACATTAACAAAGTCCATTAATTGATTATTTTATGTAGATTATCTCCATTTGCATGTTTTTGTACATTTTCAGGTTAAATTGCAAAAAGGAAGCAAGAATAAGGCCTTGTGGAATCTTGAGCAACAAAAGGTGCCAATGCTGAATTCTGGCAGCAGTACCATTTTGACCTTCCAAACTCGAGAACTGGACTTCCCTCATAACATCAAAGATTTAGAGCTCTGAATCAGCTTTCCAAATCATCAAACGGTTTGTTATTCGGAGTTCGGAACAAAGAGTTACGACCTTCTTATCAGAGGTGCTCAGAACTGCCTGGCAGCAATGAAAGTCTGCCTTGTTCTTCAATTTCGACCAACCAGACTTGAGAATTGGATCTCTAAAAAAACATAAAGTTTTTAGAGCTCTGAATCAGTTTTCCAAATCTTCAAACGGTTCATCATTCGGAGTTCGGAGCGCAAAGTTATGGCTGTTTTACCAAAGTAGGTCCGGGCGAAGCAAAGCAAGCATGGAGCAATCTGCTCCATTTTCGAGTGCTCGAGGCCCTATTTCGAGCACTCGAAATTCAGGCAGATTGCACTTCGGAAATGGCTCATTTCAGCCCACTTGCACCTTGGTTTCTTCATTTTATTTTCCTCCTTAATGAAGTGGTTGGAGATGTTGGTTGGTAGTCTCTTGGAGTGGATAAGATATCTAATAAAGGGAAGCAAGGCCACACATATCTCTTAAGCTTCATTTTTACAAGATAGAGGAGAGAGAAGAGAGAAAGAAGGAAGTGTTCTTCATGCAAAAAGAGGGGAGCTCGAAAATGGCTTGTTCATCCATGCTTCTTCCTTCTTCTAGCTCACTCATGGGTAACTAAACCTCATCTAGGGAGGTGATGAAGCCTCCCCTTTTGCTTATGTTCTAGATTAGGTTCTATTTTGGGGATTATGATGTATCATTTTTGGTCTTTTCATAATCTAGAGCATATTACTTCTTGTAATGAATTCTAATGTTTATAAATGATTGTTGTAAGTGATTTATCTTGTCTTAGATGGTTTCTTGTAGTAATCATAATGCTTGCTTCTTCATGGTGACAATGGAGATAGGATTATGAATAATTTTCAAGGCATGTTGATAGAGAAAATGGATAGTCCATTGCTTAGGAACTTCCTTTGATGGGTTATGCTAGTTTCCTACCTCATGTGCTTTATCATTTGATTACAAACTTGATAGTTCTTGCTTGAGTGAGTATGTTGAAGGCTACACTTTAGTTTAGGTAGCTCAAATGTATGAATTTTTGAGGGATTATTCTTGTTTAATGATTTAATGAACTTCTCTAAGGGTATATGGTAATCTAGTGTTGCTATATATTCCATGACCATTTTATACATTGTACTTCCCCAATTTAGCCTTAATCTAGCATGTACTTAGGGTGTAATGTGGATTCATCTCCCTAGTCTTTTCTACTTGTATCTCACTCCTTTAATTTCCTTGCAATTTATTGTTTTATGCACTCCTAATTTCTTAGTTTAGTGACTATCAAACAAACCCTTATTACCCCTTATCATTCTAAGAACAATTCTAGACTCTTAGGTTGCCATAGACTAGGGCAGTCCCAGTGGTTCGACTTACCCGACCAATAGCCCTATTTTACAATGATTCGTGCTATTGCGAAGGTTGATGTATAGTTGATCAACCGATCAATATCGCACCAACGACATCACTGCTCTTCTCCTTATTTATGTGGACGATGTTCTTATTGCGGGAAACAATGATAATTTCATCAAGACTTTAATTGAGAAACTCAGCCATGAGTTCGCTATTAAAGATCTCGGTGTCTAGCTTGCATTATTTTCTTGGAGTGGTGATAAAACCCATCTCTGGTAAACTCTTCCTTTCTCAAGCAAAGTAAATGTAGGACCTTCTCACAAGAATAAGAATGCTTGAAAGCTCCTCTATCGCCACACCAATGGCGATCAAGGAAAAGCCAACTATCTCAGATGGTGATTCAGTTGATTGCACCTCTTACAGTAGTATCGTTGGTGCTCTCCAATATTTAACCTTTACTCGGCCAGATATCATTCATGCAGTTGACCGTGTATGCCAACACTTCAACAATCCAACATTGGTTCATTTAAAGGCTGTTAAACGTATTTTGTGGTATCTCAAAGGCACTTAAAATTTTGGTGTGTGGTTTCTCTCAAGAAGTCCTCTTTCTCTTTACAGTTTTTGTGTTGCGGATTGGGCTGGTTGCCCAACTTCCAGTCGTAGCATTACAAGTTTTTGTGTCTTTCTCGGCGCCAACTGCATTTCTTGGTGTTCTAAGAAACAACCTACAGTCGCTCGATCAAGCTCCGAAGAGGAATATCGTTCCATGGCCTCAACTACCGCTGAGATCACTTGGTTAACATTTTTGTTATGAGATATTGGCATCTCCTTATTTTCCCCACCGCAGTTGTTTTGTGATAATGAGTGCTTTACACATGTCTATTAATCCTATGTTTCATGCTCGATCTAAACATATCGAGATTGATTATCATTTTGCTCGTGAAAAGGTGGCTGTGGGAACTCTTGTCACTCGGCACATTTCCTCATCTTGTCAACCTGCAAGCATCTTCACCAAGTCGTTACCTAAGGAAGCTTTTACAGTTTTTCACCGCAACTTGGTTGTTCATGATCATTCCCTCTCCAACTTGAGGGGGCATGTTAAAGGAAATAATTCCCATAACAATGCCTATGATCATGGAAATATTCAAGGCAATAGCTCTGGAATTATTTCCTCCAGACACTCACAAAATCTACCCACTGATCAAGGGACTCGGTCAACAATTTATTTCACTTAACTGCTGCTTATTTAGCATTCTTTTGTTAGCTTATGTGATTACTCAATTATTGTGTTAAATCAAGCCTTTGTACATGAATATATTTGAACTTGCTCATCAATGAAAAAGGCGTACTGCTATGCTTCCATTTAGAAAATTCTTCAAAAATCTTCATATACTAGTAAGGAAGCCACTGAATAATTATAAAAACAAGTAATAGTCTCAGCTTCACTTCATATGCTTTAGGTGTCCTTTTGCACAGCAATTCGAAAGTTAAACTTGTGAAAAGATAAAATAACAAGAAAGTGCTGAGGTTGTATAAAGATCTAGAAATATAACTTAATTTGTTGTTGCACTGGTGGCAAGCATTTTTTCAGAGATGAAAAGGAAGTGCTGAGTCTGTATAAACCTTTAGCCAAGCTTTATCATGAACATTCACACAATCAACGAATATTTGTTCATTTACATCATGAACCAATCTCTGCTTTTTTAAGTGACCAGAAAGATCCAAAAAGGCCACCTAAAGCAATCCCATTTTCCTAATCTGCCAATTCTTCAGTTTGTTCTCTACAACTACCTCTTTCACCGTTTCTTAGGTTTATCACTCCCATCGATGGATTGTTTATAGATTGGATGCCTTTCTCTGCTAAACATTAAAAAATGATACGGACTAATAAGTTACAAAGGGCTTGTAGTCCAATGGTATAACCTACCCAACCTCAAATAGTGTGTGTGATAAAAGTGTGTTTGCTTTACCATTAAAAAAAAAAAAAAAAAAAGGATAATAAGTTCTAGGTATGTTCACAGCCCGACCTCATATTGCAACACCACAACTTGATCAACCCATTTATTTCCTTGGTCACAAGATTTTATCATCAATTGAATGAAGTGTGGTATCTGTAACGTTTTCATTTGATGGTCCATCACCTAACTTGTTGAGAATGGTCATATTTTAGGAATGTTCACAGCTTGACCTCAAATTTCAACCCTTAAATGATTTAACTCGTACATTTTCTTGGCCATAAGATTTATCATCAATTCAATCAAGTATGGTATGTCTTCTAATTTCCCTTATAGGTAACATTTTCATTTGATGGCCCATCACCAAATTTGTCCAGAATGGTCATCCAAGAAATCTTGGAAATTTCCAAGTGAGCACTTTCTCACAATGTCTGGCATAAAGTGGTGCTGTTGGGGACATGACTATGGAGTCGATCAAGCTCCGTAGGTATACCAACAAGCCAGTGACTTAAAGGTACCAGACTCCTATTTTTTTAAGGGAGGTCAGAGGTTCGAGCTTCAGTGAAAGCATGTGTGTGAGTAACAACTAAAAAAATAAAAAATAAAACTCCAAAGGCGTTTGCTAAGCTCACTGTGGGTTTATGCCAGGTCATTGCTAATATAATTAGCAGAACAACTTTGCTGCACTACACCCTTCTCTTGGATGAAAAAACAGAAACACTGCTTGTGATTGGAAGCCATGTGGTTACTTTTTGAATTGGAAAAGAACAATTTTTGTGACATCGATCTACATGTAAACTGCCCAAAATTAATGTACATGTTCTGTCTTAACTCATAAGCAGCCTTGATTGCCTTTATCCAAAATTAGCACACCACCTTGTTTTATCTAATCAGCAGAACATCTTTAAAAGCAAGCAATTTTTAAGAACTAAGTTGCTCTTTTGTGAAAACTTGAAATGAAAGCCCACACCTTTAGAATCTCTAACCTTTAAGCAACCTTTGTCCCAAGCTATTCTCTCTCTCTTTCTCTCTTTCTCTCTCTTTGACATGTTAAATTTCAAAACTCTTCTTCTTCCATTCCATCTTGTGCTTTCTCATTGCCTCTTTTCTCGACACAGCTGTTCGACAAAATGGCAGTGACACATGCCGACCTTGCACCAAGTCGTCCGAAGACTGACCTTGGTAGTAAAACAGGTGCCTTTCTGGTGGTCTTGTCCATACTATTTGGCCTCTTTTGCTTCATTCTCTGTCTCATTGCCGAAGTCACTCGTTCTGAGGTAATTGTTTCTGTGAAATCCCAGTAACCCGTGGACGTAGCCTTAATTTTTTGGATCAACCATGTAAAATATGTAATGTTGATTTTCGCAAGCGTAAATAACCATGAATGTATATCTATCATTGTGGGTGATAATCTTGCAGGTGACATGGGTGAGCAATGGAGATGGATATGAATGCACATACAGTGGTAGTGGGAAGAAACCGCTCTTGTGTGCTGCCGCTGCATTTATGGGACTCGCGGTTGCTGTGGTGGTGCAACATACATTTGTCATGATTGCAGTCAGTAAATCAACCCCTCCGTCTTTGGTTGCTTGGGACCTTGACTCTGCTCCTGCCAAGACCCTCACATGGCATGCTGCCTTTTTCTTTATCGCAACATGGTATGACAAAATCATTTATGTTCCATTCTTCAGTTTTTTGTTATATGAAAGCACAAATGCCTAACTTCTTCAATAATTGCATCATTTGATTAGCATTCCAAAATTTACTTTTTGTGCTTTCAACATAAGAGAAAATTCACTTTTTTATAGAAAACTGATAGTTGAAACCAATAAGGCCCATTTGGACAGTCCAAAGTCCAAACGGGCATGCTGACCTAATTTTTTAGACCAATTTTGACAAAAGCTATTTTGACTTGAAAAGGCTCATTTCTGATCAGAAACATGCCAAGTCGTAAAAATCAACAGTTTTGCTGCTGAGGTATGTTTTCTTTTGTCGAATTTCATGCCTGAAAATTTTGGAATTTTTGGTAATCTAAACACGACTGGAATTTTATGTTTTGGGTATTTAGTAACTTTTAGTGATTAAGTTTCTTTATTTTTTTGAGATAGTTGAATTTTTGTCTTATTTTTAACTTTCCTTATGCTGTTAATTTCTTATACTTTTAGTATTTTGACTTGAAAACACTTATTTCCGATGGGAAATATACCAACTTGTAAAAATCAGAAGTTTTGTTGGGCAGGTACAGTGATTTTTCGGTCGAATTCCAACTATTAAGGCGTGAAAATTTCGAATTTTCTGATTTGGGTATTTAGTAACTTTTAGTGATCAGGTTTCTTATTTTTATTTTTATTTTTTCTTTTTAGTTTAGAGATAATTGAATTTTCTGATTTTGGGTATTTAGTAATTTTTAGTGATTAGCGTTGTTTTTTTTTTTTTTTTTTTTTTTTTGGTTAGAGAAAGTAGAATTTTTGTCTTATTTTGTTAATTTCTTATATTTTTAGGTTTCTTTTTTATTTATTTTATCATAAATACACGTTCTCTAAAGATCATAATTATTTATTGATTAGTAATACTCTAAAGATTCAAAATTATTTATTGTTCATCCCTGAACGTTAAGTCAAGTAAAGTCTTCTCCTAAAATGTTTACAAAACATATCAAGAGGACTAGTTGCAAACTCTGAAATGTGCCCAACTTTGGTTTCTTCTAGGATTTGTTTTGCTGTTGGGGAGATCTTGCTGCTCATAGGACTCAGTGTCGAATCAGGCCATCTCAAAAACTGGACAATACCGCGGCCAAGTTGCCTAACCGTCCGGCAAGGCATGTTCTCTGCTGCTGGAGTGTTCGGGCTGATCACAGTTTTCCTTGCGGCCGGATTATACATAACAGCATTGCGCATACAGAGGCTAATACAAGAGCAGGAAATGGTGCAGCGAGAGGTACTAGAGGCCTCGGTCCTCTATGCATCTCCACCCTGGTCACCTCCACATCGCCTCACAAGCGCTGCAAATGAGAATCCCATCGTTAGACAAAACCAGAATGAGAATATGACATTGGCCGACTACTTGTCAGTTTTCGACAAGAGATCCAGTTTAGTGTAAGGCAAGAAAATGGTGCATTGTTGCTGCCTCAATGCAGGCAATGACCAGCTGATCAGATTTTCTTTTTCACTGGAGAGAAGCAAATATATACATATATGTATATGTAATATATATGCATGTATACATGTTTAACATTGATTAATTTAGTTCTGTAAGTAAAGATTGATTGTTGGTGGTATATATATAGTTTTTTATATATAGATATATATAGATATATATCGATATGGACTCATTTTCTATGTTTTATAGAATATTCTTTGGCAAGAAGGAATACATGATGCCTTTTTTTACTTTGTATGGGCAATGATAAATTATGATGCCTTTTTATTTTGTATAGGAAAGAATGAATTATGAAGTTCAAAAAGTGAATTAAAACTACCTTAGATGTGTTTTTGACTTTGTATAGGTAATGCTTGTTGAAGCTCAGGTTATGTACTGACTTTGTGGGTGTTGTCTTGTAAGGTCACCTGAGAAATTTTTATCACTTAAATCCTAATTATGTCTATGCTCAAGTCATGTATTTTTTTTTTTTTTTTTTTTTTTTTTTTTTTTTTTTCCTTTTTTTAAATTTAAAAAAAAAAGAGTCAATACTTGCTACGGAAATTTTCGTTGGAAATAAAACTTTTAGCTACAGAACACTTTCGTAGGTAATGGTGATTTATAATTGTAACAAAATAATTTTGTAAAAAATACCTCTATTAACTATAAAAAATTTCGTAAATAATGATATACAATTTTACTACGAAAAAGTTTTTGTAAAAAATACTTCTATCAACTAAGAAATTTTCGTAGTTAATGATCTAAAGATTGCTACGAAAATGTTTTAGTGGAAATTACTTTTATTACTTAAGAAATTTTTGTATGAAATATATTAATTAGCTACAACGCTTTTCGTAATTAATGTTGAGAGTTTATGCACAGCGGAATGATTGTGGAATATAATATGGATAGATAATTTGAAGAGATGGTGAATAGATTTAACTTGTTCTTTATCCAATTTTTACTTGTTTTAATTTTACCGAGATAAAACTAAAATCAAACCACAAAGCAAAAATAAAGTGCAAGTATAGTAAATAAAATTTGAGAGATGACACCAGGATTTTATGGAGGAAACCCCAATTGGTAGAATAGACCAATTGTAACAGGAAAAACCTCCTTGGACTGTGCAGTCCTAAGATAAACGATTCACTATGTTTGAAACAAAGTATACCGAACTTTGACTCAGTCTCACACCCTATCATTCTACCAAAAACTAATTACTGACAATCCCTGCCTTTGCGACTCCCCCGTCCAACAGCTCTCGACCTCAGGCTTACTCTCGATCTTTGTAGAAGAGTTGCAGGTATATCAGACAACACTCCACGAATGCTCTAACCCCTTCAAAGTGTGATCGCTTCACCCATTTTCTTCTAGATCAAAATTTGATGAAGAACGAATGAATTCTGCTTCTCCGGAATTTCTGAATCTTCTATTATGCTTCAATTCCGATGATATAGAAAACAACACTACTAAATCACTCTTGTGTTTATTTGTGTGATCTCAAAAATAAAAATAAAATCAGAAAAATCACATTGATTTTCTGAATAAAAATATCTCTCAAATATGGTTCTCTAATAAATTTGAATTTTGTAAGCAAAAGCCGTATATAAAACTAGATGACTATCATGGTTTATATAGAGTTTAGAATATCCTAATTCCTTTGAAAATATAGAAAATTTCGTGCATAGGACTTGCAAGGAAGTCTAGTCCAAAAAGGAATCAAACAGAGCAAGAAAGGCAAGTTACCAAAATTGTCAGGATGCCTTGAACCGGTTCAAAGGGGCTGAACCAGTTCAAGATGGCCAACAATATTTCTTGAACCACTCATTTGAGTCTTGAACTGGTTTAAGATGGCCAGATTAATATTCTGTTGATGCATGTTGAACATGCATGTTCGATTAGTCTTGAACCAGTTCAAGATGGACAGAATGTAAAATCTCCTTAAAAACTTCCAAAACTCTTCCTAAATGTTCTCACTACCTCTCAAAACTTCTTAAAGCATTGTTCTCATCATCTCGAAGTGTAATATATCATGAACACTTGAACTTCTTCAAATCCGCATCTGATCTTCAAGCTTGAAACTATGAACCGGAAAATTACAACTTAATCAGACTTATTTTGACAATGAAATTAGCCAATATACAATATATATATTTTTCACAATCTTCCCAAAATATATATTTCACAATCTCCTCCTTTGGCAATTTTGTGATAAAACCCTAAAAACAACATGTAATCTACCCAAGCAGAAAAAATAAATTACAATGAATTGTCAAAGAAATATAACGGAACTCTTCTTTAACATTATGAAGCTTCAACACATTAGCAGCATGTAATCTGCACATTAGCTCAACAAAACTACCTATGAAGCTAAATTAAGAAAGATAAACAATCAACATATATCAATATGTGATATCAATCTATATATGTATATATATATATATATATATATATATATATCTCCCCCTCAATTTTAGAAACTCTTCCCTTCAAATATGCACACTTCTCCCCCCTTTTGTTACAGATTGACAAATAAAGCTCAGCAAAGAAAGAAAAGAAATAATGTGGGAGAGTTAACAAGAAGAGAGATCAAAACTATTATCCATGCATAAGATATTGCAATAAGCACAAAAACATGATGATATATAATAGCAATGGAACCAAAGACAAGTATTTAGGATAACACATGTTCCATCCACCAATCAAGCTCAAAATCACACACATGATATCTCTATCCAATCAAAAACAAAAATTCCTAATAAAAACTAAAAGGAAAATCTTTTTAGATTTCTTTTTTTTCACCTTTTTTTTTTTTTTTTTTTCATTTTTATGATATTTGAACAAAAATTATGAGATAGCATTTCCATGAATTTAAAGCACACATGAGATTCAAAAATTTCTGAAGAATTTAAGAGAATTTAAAAATACGAAATTTTTAGACACCACAAATTATTCAATCAAATCAATTCTCAAGCATGCAATCACAACATGAAATTCAACTTCCAATTTGTATGAAAATTCAGAAATTTTCCTAACAAGTTCACATGTGTGTGTGTGCAATCTAACCTCATCAAATTTTCAGTCAAATCACATTGATCAACTGTCTAAACCATATTGATCGAAAACTATCAAGATAAGATTGTTTTGAGCAAACTTTTCTAAGTAAGGCAACTTTCACTCTAAAGAGTAAACAGCAATTCCCTATTTTGACTTGTCTCCTCCTTTCTTTTTACTCAGTTAGCTCCTCTTCAAAGTCTAGTAGAAACTGTCGAACTATTTTCAATTGGTAACATTTTCCTTAGCAAAGATTTTCAGCATTCTTTTGATTTTTCTTTTCTTTTCATGTTGAAATTTCATCATTTTTTTTTTCTTCAAATACATGCTTTTTTTTTTTTTTTTTTTTTTTAAATGATAACTTATATAGCTTTTATGAGTAATATGACCTAGTCAAGTTCACAATGATTTCCAATTAAATTTCTCAGAATTGGACTAGTGTACATGAAAAATATGAACTCAAGAGACTCATCTCTAAAAAGAAATAAACAAAGCAAGTTGTCTTTCAACATATAGATTACATATCAAGAACATTTTCATCAAATAATCATGTGTCCCCAATTTGCATTCAAAAATAATTAATTCAAGAGAAATAATTATCACTCATGCATTGACAAGAAAAATATGATCATCACTTTCTCATAAAAGAAAAACAACATAAATCCTAAACTACAAGATATGGTCCAATGGAAATAAGATAGACATTAAAGCATAGTCCATGACCATAAAACCTCTTTAGGATTTACTTTGGGGGTTTTGCACTCAATGACCTATTGGAAACAAATGCTATAGCATCAATAAGCACATACAATTTCAAATCCTCTTTCTTTACCCAAACAGTTTTCACCTTCAACTTTTGAAGAAATTTTTGAGGAATATCAAAAACATTCTTTTTCTTATGTGAATTCCTTTTAGCACTAAAATTTTTAGGTTTATTCTAATTATTTTGCTTTCTAACATGAAACCTATTTTGTGCAAAAGAATTAAAACCATGACGATCAGAATAAGAATTATCCCTTTTCTTTTTATAACAATAGTGTCGACTATGTCCAGTTCTACTACAATAAGAACAATAAAGCACCTTGGACACATTTTTAGCATGCATAGGATTAACAAAAACTTTAAGCTTAACATTAGGCATATTCAAGTTCATGGGTTTAACAAAAATAGTTTGACCCTTTTTACTAGATGAAGCCTCATTAAAACCTAATCCAGTTTTATCACTTGCACGCTTACCAACGCTAATCATCTTATCAAGCTTAATCTGTCCAGAAGTAAAAGCAATTAATTTCTCTTGAGATTTTTCCAATTCAGGTTCAAGAAAATTAATTTTAGCAACAAGAGATTCTCTAACAGAACTAGCTTGACTTACCTCGCTCTCGAGAATTCTTACCTTTCCTCGAAGATTCTAAATTTTAGCTTTATTCTCCTCAACCAATTTATGTTTTTGCTTATTCTCCTTCTTCAAGGTATCATTCTCCTTTTTTATCAACTCTAGTTCCTTAGACTACTTCTGACTAGCCTTTAACATTGCCTCAAAGATTTTTAATGTATTGCTTTCACTTGGTTCTCCATTAATTTTTTGATCATTCGAATCATAAGAACCAACCTTGCTTCATGTCTCAAATTTGGTAGAATCTCCTACACAAAAAGAAGAATTATTAGCAGTATCATTATCAATATGAGAAAGAAAAGCACTAGAAGCATCTTTCTTATTTATCTTATCTTTCAATTTAGAAGGATCTCTTTTACTAAAATTTTTATTTTTTCTATTTTTAAGGAGTCTTCTATATCTTTTAGATAAACAAGAAAGTTCCTCATCCGAACTTAAACCATCAAAAATAAGATCCAATTCACTCTTATTCATAGGATATTCCATCATAAATTTTTTAAAACAAAAATAATTTTATTTTTCAAAAAAAAACTTCCACAAGGATTAACTCAATGTATAGAGGTTGGCTCTAATACCACTTGTTGAGAATTTGTGCACAGTGGAATGGTTGTGGAATATAATATGGATAGATAATCTGAAGAGATGGTGAATAGATTTAACTTGCTCTTTATCAAATTCTTACTTATTTTAAT